GACAAGTTTTGTTGAAAATTGCCCCACAGTATAAGTTTTAGAAACTTACTGATTTTTAACTATGCAGCATTCCTTGTCTAAAATTTTTGGAGATTTAGACGTGAAGAAAGTTTTTGTACAATCACATTTGGAAATAAACACAATCACAATAAAAATACCAATGAATTACAACGCTTTTGAGTGAACCTAAACTTTCAAAAGATTTAACCCTACTTCGAATTTGACATTTTGAATACTTTACACCGAACGTAAACGAATACTTTCCCAAATTTTTTCTGTGTCCGAGCAGGGGGTTTCAATAATTAATTCGCAAATGAAAAATTGAATTTTCAACTTTAAAACAATTAATTGAATTTATAAAAATCAATAATTGAAGTAATTGCAATTAATTGCAAGTCATTGAACTTCAGGAATGTTTTTCACTTAATCGATGGCGTGTTCATCCCAAAATCGATGATTGACTTTGAAGAAAAGTTGACACTCTAGGTTCATTGGCAACAAGTTATAGAATGAAGTTATCGTAACAGAATGAAGTTTTTCTAGGGTACCTCGCAAAGCGTTCAACTCAGTAATCTGTCGTGCAGAAGGAACTTGTCAACTATTTTTGAAAAACTTTGTAGGCTCTAGAAACGAAAATAATTCCAAAAAACGAGAAATCATGGCCATTATGCTCAACCATCTAGTTTTTCCCGATTTAAAGGCTATAACTTTGCCAGAGTACGTAATTTCATTTGACCTTTTAAACTACTGATTCAATTTAGTTCAATGATGATTAATTCCAAACAAAACATCGAAAAGACCGAAAGTTTAAACTTAATGCTATGTCGCAAAACCTAGCTTTTTTTGCCTAGCTTTTTTTGAAATATGGACTGTTACCAACAGTGTAATACATACATTTACTCAGGACAACCAAGCTACCGACAATCAAACAGTTTTGATTTCTAAGACTCTTTTCGATTCTTTTACACAAATTTGAATGTGAAGGTTTGTCGACCGAGTTATTCCGAAAGTTCCTTTCCAATATTTGCAATTAAATGAATTTTCTAAAACCAATTATTGTATTAATTGAATTTTGAAAAACTAGATTTTTACCCAATTAATTGCAATTAATTTTCACTCAATTATTTTTTGAACACCATTGCTGTCGAGAAAAACCAGTTTGAATTTTCTGATTTTTGATCTAATTCCGAGTTTATTAGGTCAGCGTGCAGGCTTACAATGGCTTATTTAAGCCGTGAAAACTTAGTTATACTCGAGCAAAGTTAGTTTTAGGAATCATTTAGCGCCATTTTGGGAATCAATTTTTTCAAAATTTCAAAAAAAATTCTGCAAAAAAATTTATAAATTTTTTGTGAAAGTTTTGTTTTACGATTTTTTTTTCAATTTTTCCGTCTTTTTCTGCAGATGGCTTTTTTGACACTTTCGAATGTGCCTAATTTCTTTTTTTTCTTTCAGATCTTTTTTTCACATCACACAGAAAAAACTATACTACTCCGAAGACTATGGTCGGAACATTCTGTTTCAAAGTACTGCTGTTTATCAATTTCTTTTTAAGATATATTTTTTTAAAATTTGGGATGTAAATTTGCATTGCAAGTGACGCGAAGCTCGGCTTTAACGCGTGTAAATCAGTGTTGTCGGAACTGTGTGCTACTTGCACAGCAACCGGGCATCCTTATTGTTTGCTTTAATGTGAAATACTGTTTTGCACATTGGTTAAAACTGTAGCGCAGACAGAACTGATCGAAACTTTTTTATCATCGCTTATTTTCCCTTCGCATTGGCTTGCTATGGTCAAAACCACGCTGATTCAATGCAAATTAGTTTGATCTTTTAGCGTAGGAAGTTAATTTTTGGTTTAATGTTTCATACAAATACGGTTTGTCGCTCACCCCTAAATGATTGTTTTTCTACATGTATTCTAACAGGCGAACTGTTGCGAAACTGCTGAACAAGTTGACTGTAAGGATTTTGAAGTTGTGAAGCTTTAAGTTTAGGCATCGTTTTGTCTCTTTTGCGTTGTTGAATCATTTGCGTCGAAAGCAAACATTTTAGCTTGCTTCGCATGTTCTAACTCTGTTTCATCGAGTACAGTTCAGATGCCATTAAGTTTGTTTGACAAAGCTAAATATGCTGATCGACTATGATAGAATACCGAGCGTAAGAAATAACTTTTCGTCTGCGCTTTCCAAAGACTACCGACACGAAAATCTTTTAAATGACATCCTCCAGTCGTTGCTTCAAGAAGACAGCGGGAAAGATCCCAACAAGGAAATATCGACACGACTGTGGTTAGTTAGATTTCTGGCTGAATATTGCACCGAGCTACTAACTGGACCAGAAGACGCAGAAAGGGTTCTGTCATGCATACTGAAGCGTTTGATGAGAGTTTCAACTGTAAAGCCATCTGTTCTGATTTCCTACTTGCACGCCTGTACTACTATTGTAGTTTGTTTCGAAGAGTTGCCAGGAGCGGACGGCGATCGAAGCAGATCGACAACTGTTAACTCCGCTGCTACTAACTCGCCAACTGAAAAGAAACTTGAAACTCTATTAGTTCAATCACTGATTAAATTCCTGACTCACAAACAGACACTTGGTATAGAGGTAGAAAAATGTACTCTTCAGTGCTTATTGGAACTTGAAAGATCAATTCCCGCTTGTTTGAGCCAATATTTGAGCATATTAAGTGAGGATAACCGATTGTATCAAGGCCCAAACAAGCAATTATGGAACCTACTTATTGTCAGCGGAGTTCGAAATTTCCTCAAATGCGTAGTAAGATTCCCAAAAGTTACCCAACGTGGAATTTCGTCTGTTTTATTGCGTGGTATTTCATTGCCAAGTCGATACACAAACATATACAGTCATGAAATGGGTCGGTTTTTTATGCTCTTTGAAGAATCTCGGAAGTTTTCACAGCAGAATGATAACATCACTGCAATTGCTAAAAATGGAATGGGTTATTTTTTTGAAATGGAATCGTTGGTTCAAGCCCAGTTCGTATATTACTTGATGGAAGTGTATGACTTTTACGGAGTTGAAGACGAAAAGTTTCCATCAATAATAACTTGCCTTTCCAAGAAAGATGCCTTGACATCCAATTTGTCTTCTCTTTTGCTCTTCAGGAGTAATATTGCGAAATTCAACTCAAGCTTTGCAAAAGATTTTCTACGAACATTTGAACGATCCAGCCAACTCACACATCGCTCTTACTTGACGAATATTTGGTACTTCAAGTTTTCATCTGAGGTAGCGAAAATAGCACAAAAATCTCTGTCTAAAGTTTTTCTGCAACCAAAGGTTTTCGATAAAAATGCAGTTCTCTTGGAGAAGGCGTGCAAATTTATTGAGATATCTGCTACAGAATTTGACAATGGGTATCTATCGCATCAGGTTTTTAGTTTAATGAAATTATTTACAAAGCAAATTGAAAGACAGTCAGTTAATTTTATTCACCAGGCTGTTTTTCGGGTGTTGCTTCACGCGTTCATGTACCACAAGGCATGTGAAACTGCGCTGAAAGTAATAATCCTGGACCTGTGTTCAAGGTACTCGTTTTTGTGCCTCCCGATTACAGGTCTTCTCAAGAGTATGTGGAAGCTACAACCTGAAAGCCAATTTCCCGACGCATGTTTGAGTTCTTTTAGTGACTCGATTGCAAGTTGTTCATTTGATTCGTTTTTACCGTCCTTTACTGATTATTTACCTTTGATGTCTCTAGTAGCAGCCAAGTCGACGGCCGATTTAACCGGTTTCTTAGAACTTCTAGAAAAAGCCTTGATGTTGTCCGATGCGTGTCAAGCAGGTGCCTGGGAAGTTGGAAATGGACTGATTGAAATCCTGCACAACGTTCTAGAATGCGACAGACGGGATATTTACTGCGCCGAAGTGCGTTGCTTGTTGCAATATATAGCTTGCAACTTCAGCAATGAATCAGTCAAAGATTCTGCGAACCTGTACCTGAACCTTGCTTCAAGTGTTTCTCCAAAAAGATTGGGTCAGTTCTTTCAAAGTGTACCGAAAGATCACAGGCCATCAAAATCCCAGTTTAGTACTTTTCTTGCCGCTAATAATGGCTCCTTGTATGAGCCTGATTTAAACGATGTAGCTGGTTTTAACTCAGAAACTCCAACATTGGACAACGACTCGATTCTGTTGTGTAAAACAGCTCCCGATGAATTGCTAGATGATAATTTAAAAGTCCATGCCAAACACTTGAAATCTTTCTCGACTGGGATTCGAAATTTCAAGGACTTGTTGGGGTATGATGCAATGCCCAACTCGATCAAACTGGTGTTCGAGGTATCAGTTAACCAGGAGTTCTCAATGTGTGATTTCTACGCTTTGGAATTTGTGGTCAATCTGGGTGAAAATCTTCAGTTCAGGGATGAGTCAGCGCCACTAAGCCTAGACCATCTGGGAGTTGAATCAGCGCAGATTCTGGAGCTGGATGTCGAAGTTAAGCAAATCTCTGAGATAGATCTAGAAGTTCACTGCGTTTTCATTGACAATAATTTGAATACTAGCAAATGCCCGATGAGTAACGTACCTCTAAGGTTCCAAGACTATTTCATGCCGTTTTTTTGTGCACCAGAATTGCGATCTCAGATATTTCGTGAACTGTGGAACCACTACAAAACAGAAATTGAGTTTTCAGAAACTGAAGCTGTGGATTTGATTTATACCATGGAAGTTACTGGTAGTTTTGGGGAGCTGAAAAATGTCTTAAAGCGACTGGTTCATTTTGACTGCTGGATCTCAGATACCTTTGAAACGGATGATTCGCAGATAACCTTAGGAATATTTCTGCCTCCTGAAAATCATTTGCTGATTCAAATCAAACACCAAACTGAGTTCGCAATTTTTCATTGTGTAATTTCGAACGAGGAACTTTGTCCGATGCTTAATAACTTTCTAGTCCACTTTGAAACCATTTATCGCACTTATAATCGAAGCTTTGTTAATTAGACGAATTTATTTTTTTAATGAGTTTTCAGATAATTTAAAATGATTTGATTTAATAAATCAGATTTATAATGAATAACTTGATCAGCAAACCAACGTTGCGAGGTTGGAAACGCTGCCCGTCGGAAGGTTGTGATCAATTCATGGGAGTAAGAGCGAAAGTGTGTAAAAAGTGTTGGGTGAGTGACCTAAACGAGAGTTCAGGAGCTGAACTGGAGCTGCGGTCGAAAGAGTTAGTAGTGGAACTGCAGAACTCTTTCGGAAATAGTTCTCAAAGATATTTTTTAGTTCGAACTAAAGTAGAATCTTTGACATCGTATTGCGGAGTTGTCGTTATGGAACAAGAAATATATTCGAACTCAGACATGCCGATGTGTAAAGTATATTGCTACGTACCAACTTGCATAAACCAGAGATCGAATGAAGATAGAACTGTAAATTGTAACCACGGACCCTTATGTGCACAGGGATCCGCTGTTCCTGCAAAATGTTTAGCAATTAATTGGGAGTATGTGTTTAAGAAAGTGCCTAACATACCAGAATCAGTCAAAATTAATTTAGCATCTGTTAGAAAACTAGTGTCCGGTTTTGATTTTGCGGCACAACCAGTCCAAAAAGTGGATTCCTTAGTCTATGCAGTTTTTGGACCGAAGTCGACATCTGAACCCCACGGAATATCACATGTGACTTTCAGCAAAACTAAAAAAGAGTATTACTGTTCATGTATTTCCTTTTTCGAATCGGGTAATACGAGTTCATATGAGGAAGTGACCGGTCAAGTTAGGGTATGTTATCACGCGTATCTACTTTTAGCCGCCTTTTTGTCCGATTTCAATTACAGAGAGAGGGTAAAGGTCACTTCAATGTTTTGTCATTTGTTTTTGCAAGATGTAGTTGCATCTAAAGTTCGAGAGGAACCGGGCCAAATGTGGTCCAATGACAACGACTCCCCTGAAAATTATTCAGAAGATGAAAATGAATCCTTTGAGAAAGAAAACTCTAAACTGAACTCGAACTCAAATGAGGTTTTAATCCAAGTTGACGCATATATTTGTAATTTGATACATCAAATGCGCGATGCGTTGAAGCCTTTAAACAAGGAAAGTGTGGCACAAGCATCGATGAATTTGTCAATGCCATCCGCTGTTTTCAAGAAAATTGAGGGAAAAATAGCAGGAAAGTTAGGAGAAAATTGGAACCCGATTCCACCGAAAAGAAGCAGAGAAAACGGACTGGAGAAGAAAGATTGGGAAATTTTAGTATCGACCACATTTAATCATATGATGACTTTGACAGATGATTACTTAAGGCAGAAATACGGTTCGAAACTCAGCTTGGAAAAGTTTTTCATGACTGACGCTAAAGAAGGCCAGGTAGAGGTGCGTAAAAGTAAAATTGAAGGCCTGATCAAAGACTGTTTTAACGATTCGAGCGAAACTTCGAGTCCAAGTAATCTGGAAAACAGAAACTGGAACGGAGATTACACGCCTAAAAATCCATTACAATCTAATTTACCTAAAAACTTAACCGACTCGAATGCTGTCAATTCAGCAGATTCCTTAAACCGAAGACATCCGAGTTTTAGAAAAGTGACTCCGTCTTTTTTCTCGTCTCAAGTTGTGATTGGCCGACATCCTACTTTATCACAACAGATGCCATGTTTAATTGAGTGGGTAGAAACTTCACCTCAATTTGGTAATCTGAAGTTGACGTTTTGGTATGCAAAGAAAGTCAATGGTTGTTTTGTATGAGTTGCAATTTAGATTAATAATTGTCTGGTAAATACCAAAGATGTTGTAAATGGGTGGTTTCTATTTATGAGTTGATTGAAGCTAATTGAAATGCTCACAATAATTTTCTTGATATCTTAATTTTTTGGACAAAGAAATCTATGCATTAGCTACTAACGAATAAATGAAAGTTCAGTTAAAATTGTGTGAGCAACGAAGTCCAACCAAGGCCGTTACAACGATTATTACCCTTGCGATTAGCAAGCGTCATCAAACTGGAATATAGCCGTTTTTCGGGGTAACAAATAGTTTAACAGAATCACTTGAATTATTTGATAGCTCGCTTTATTAATGCAGTTAATTTTCATGAAAATTTGGGTCCAGTAGTGTGGTGGTAAAGAGTGGGGTTATTTCGCGACGCATGAAACGTAGAAGAATCAAAGACCATGCCAGTTTTTTTGAAGAGTCGATGAACGTAGTTAAGACTCTTATAGAGGTCGAGATGATTTTTTTCAGAAAAGGTATTCGAATTTATTCAGGCACAAATTTTATCTTCTGCGGTTTGAATTCTAATTTTTTTACCCTTGCGATAAGCAAGGGTTTTGAAATCGGGTACTAGGCTTTTTTCGTAAATAACTGCACGACTCATTTGGACTCCTGATGGTTCCTTTGTTCACAATGATTTCAAATTTCTTTGTGTCTCCTGCACACCTAGCCTGGAGTTAACGAATACACCTGGGACGGCAATAGTCTTGGGGTCGAATCTGACTTGGACTTGTAATTATTCCGGTTCCAAACAATTTCGGACTACTTTTTGTCTGCAATGTCTTTTTTCGGCTTAGTTGCCACATCTGAGAATCGTTTTTTTGCTGCAAACAATTTTCACTGTAGTTTCTCAAAAGTTCTAGCGTTTTTAAACTTCATCCAAATCGAATTTGGTTTCTTACATTGGCTGTAATTTTACTAGCTCGATACGTGAAAGTTTTTTTTTCATTTTTTTATGGGCTTAATAAGTTTTGGTTTATGTATATCGACCTAGCGCGCTGTTTGGGGATGTAAAAATGCTTTGTGTGCGTGCGTGTTCTGAGGGGAAGAGGAGAAATAATTTTTTCCAATAATTGAGATTTTTATCGTTGTGACGGTTTCTGCCAGATATTTTCAGCTTTGTTACTGCTTGGTTATTTTAGTTCAAATTCAATGAAGCATCTCGAATTGAGTGAACCCAACTTCTTGAGACCGCAAAGGGTTGTGGTTCAAAACCGGTCAGGACCTGTTTGTTTTTGCAAACTAGCGTTTTTGTGCTTTTTCGGGCTATCGTCCGTCTGTTCATTTGTCGCCTTAGTTCCCGTAGCCCGAATTTTTTTGAAGGTTCAGCTTTCTACCAAGTTATTTTAACCCCTATAATTAAGACGATAAAGCCCTGGAGATCGATTCCAGTTGCGACCTGTATTTTTTGCAAATAGAAAATTTTCGGCTAATTTAGGGTCCAATTTTCGGCTAATTTAAGGTGAATTTAAATTGTTGTGTAGTTCGTAAATTTACAAACTGTGATTTTGAGTAGTTTTACTTGTTCACGATTCACTGTAAAATGGGTGCGGCTTATGTTATATTGAGTTCGGATGAGCCAATTTATGTTGCTTAGTTCAATTTTCCAATATCTTCTGCCTATTTCAGGAGATATGAGTGGTTTTCCATTGCTATTTGTTTTGCAAATGATCTATGAAAACGCGTAACACGACAACTCGCAATAAAAACAACTCATAGTAATGTTTAACAATTACGACAACTTGCAAAAAGTGATAAACCGGAATAAACTCGTAAGATAATCATTGATTAGTCCCCAAATTAAGAACCGAAATCCCCGCTCGATTTAAAACAATTTTTGCGGAGAGATATGAGTCTTTTTGTTCGTTTTTTATGTTTTTTTAGGAATCGTTCTCAATCGAATTCATTGTCATTTTGATCTCTGACTCTCAATAGTTCTTTTTATTTGAATAATGTTGAAGTCAGCGCGGAAAACGAACCTTGATTTTTGAAGATGAAAAAAATTGTTGAAAAAAAGCAGGAAACTGAGATCAATTTTGGCTTGAAATCTGAGTTCACCACAGCGTCTGTAAAAGGGCGCATCTTTCATTCTGCACAGGCCAATTGGCGAAAATTTTAAGAGTAGGGACTGGCGCTTAATTACAAAGGTCAAAGAAAGTGAATTCATTTTTTTGCGCTCGCTCTATTCCTGAGTGCGGCTTGAAGCTTTTACTAGAAGCTCTGTACGCTACATCATCTGAGAATGAGTAGCTCTAACCGTATCTCGATTGTTTCCAGAAGAAAATGTGAGTGGGGGAACCTATACATGTAAGTATTCAAAAATTCAGATTTTAAACCAGCTATATTGAATCAGTTTAACAGTGCACTAAATGAAAACCAAAAAACAAACTATTCGGCTGAAGGATGGCATTGAGCTTTTCAATTAGGATTGGGTTGTGGCCAGCCATAGTATCACAATTCATTCAGCAAATACGGAAGAAACAAAATCTAACCGAATATAGCCTGACGTCGATGCAGCGATAAGACGTAGTTGGTTTATTTTGTTTCTGAAACTTTTTAACAGGCTACAATTAATTTTCGTTTATGTTCGCTTTATTAAATGCAAATCGTTGCATATCAATTGTAAAGTTATGCATTTCAAAAATGCTTAATGTTTACTAGTTCATTCATAGTAAAGCATTTTTTTTGTTTAGGCAATAAGTTTTGATAGACTTCCGTTCTTCGTCGTGAGTGCTAGTTTTGTCTCCATTCTGTCCTGTTTAGTGACGGCCTATTTGCTTTTCGTGTTATTTCCTCCCCCCAACCTTCAAGTGTCCGCTTCATCTCTGCCCATATTCACTCTAATTAATGCGGAAGCTGATATTGTTTTGCTTACAAAAGAGTTCTTTGTAGACAAACTCAATACCGCTTTGCGAATGTTTGGCTGTGTTGACAATTTGAAGTGTTAAATTTGGAGGACAAAAAACATCTATTGAATTCGAGTGACAGATCATATCGAGCCCTTTCATGGTTTGAATGTTTGCATGAACACTTAAAAATTGCGAAGATGGGGATATTTGAATTTTTTTGTTCCGAACTATTGAAATGTGGGAAGGGACTATGGCGTAGGTTGTTTTTTTTTTTCTGCGCGATTTTCGGAAACCCTAAGAAAAATTGTAGCTGGTCAATTGTGATTGAAGTTTCAGATAAATAGGGAAAAACAGCTCTGATTGTCCAATAATTTCAAACCAGTAAGCGATGATGAGCTTATTTTGTTTTATCACGGGAAAATTTCAAGCTTTCGATTTTACTGAAAACGGTTTGAATTGGCATATTTTGTGCCTCTCAGCAACAAAACCAATCATGACGTGAAACGCTTTTTTGGCTATTTTAGGAATCGAAATCAACCGATTATATAATCGTTGTCAAAAAAATTTTATCGAGAAAGTCATTGACGTCTAATTTTAGGTTATCCTTCCAGACGGTTGCTTCCAGACGGTATTAGGAACTAGAAGCGAATATGAGGGGCTATTCAAAGCGATGGCAAATCCCTGATAGTATTGTAATTTTGTACTCATTAAGAGGCGCTTTTTTTCAGACAGTGCGATGAGCGCAGCAGCCAAACAAGCAGTGAGTCATGCAGGAAAGAGTCTGGGTAAGAACGTGAAGGAATTGAGACTGCATTTGTGTCAGACAAGTGCTTCCAGTGGGGGAGTGAGACAGTTTGTGGAGCGGGACTATGTGGCTTTGAAGGTGGCCAATCCTCACCTGCCAATCATGGTCAGAGAGTGCAGTGGGGTGGTGCCTAGAGTATACGCCAGATACAGTTAGTTCGCCATTTTATTGTTGCGACCATTGAAAATATGGAGGAATTTTATATTCGGGTGTGTTTTAGATTTTTTTCGACGCAAAAACAGCTACCACAAATAATCATCGGACAGGGTTGAGTGATGTATTATATTAAAGTACTATCAGTCGTGGTTCGAACGACATTAAAAAAATGTTGAAAAAGTTTTCACTGTGTCGAGAAAAACAGGTTTGAAGTTTTTGATTTTTGGTCTAGTTTCGAGCTAATTAGTTAGATAGTTGGTAATTGCAATATCTTATTAAAACTTAATTTAAGCCGTGAAAACTTAGTTTCACTTAGGTAAAGGTAGTTCTTGGAGTTTTCCAGCGCAAGGGAATCAAAAACTAGAAAATTCATAAAATTTCCATAAATTTTTTTTTTCGTTTTTCTAGTCATTTTCTTCAGAAACTATTTTCCAATTGAATTAATTTACTCTGACTCTCAAATATGCCTAAGTTTTTTTTTTGTTCAGTTTTTTATCACAACATGCAGAAAAAAACGACACCAATTTGAGAAAACAGTTTTGTAATTTTTACGACTGTGGTCGGAACATTCTGTGCTACTTGCACAGTAACCAGCTATCCTTAATATGATATCAATAGTAGTAATAAAAGATAATAGAACTAAATAAGTAGTAATAATAATACAATTTAAGTCTTAATAGAAGTTCGATCCTTGCCTTCCTAGGGCGTCTTAGAAAACTTCTGAAGTTTTTTGTGCGACGGCAAATGTTTTTCTTTAAACTTATAAAGCATATGCAGGCATTTTTGACGCCAGTACCAAATTTGTCTCAAAAACATAGAACAGCTAAAATACCGTTTTTGAAATGAAAAGTATTCATAGATTTTTTAGTCATGCATTTTTTAATCATGCAAAAAAGGAAAGGCTTTTTGGTAACACTTGGTGGGTCAAAACTGTTTTCACTGCATCTGAAGTAAGCGAAGGGAAGGACTTTTAGCGGTCGGAACATTTGACGTGTCTTGAATAGAAATCGCTTGCTCTTATTACCTTTGCGATCAGATCAACAAGGGTATTGCAATCGGGCACTAGATTTTTTTTCCCGTAAAGAACTTTGTTCACATAATGGTCAAATTAAGAAGTATTTAATTTAGATTCAATTCATAATGAATTCAATTTTTTTTACGTCTTCGGCGCACTTTGTCTACAGGCAACGAATACGCCTGGGGCATCAAAGTTTCTGGTTTTGTCGGTTTAGTTGATAACCTCGTATAAAACTTTTTGCTTTGTTCTGCGCAATTTAGATTGTAGTTACTTTTAGTGTTTGGATTTACTTTTGCTGTTTGTAATTGTACTAACCTTGACCGTATATTTCCTCTCCTTTTTTTAACATGATCTGCACGCATGATCTCGGCTTATATTTTTTTGGCTTAGGGATCCAATTTTGTGTCGTTTCAAGGAATTCAAATTTTAATGCTCTTTTGGATTGCGCAAAATGCCAAAAATCATTGAATAGAAATGATAGTTCAAATATTTTCACGACAATTTTGTTTTCGTTTCTGCGGGAATTTATCCAAATTTTGTCGGCTTTCACATTCTTACCAACACTGGCGACACTAGTCTCGCTAATTGTTTTTTGAATTTTAATTAAACCCCGTCGATTGTGTTTCTGGACGAATTTTCCGAAAAAGGAGCATCATTCCAGACAAAATCTTGATTTTTTCGTTGTTGTTTTTTTTTTCGATTTTTTTTGGACTGAGTGGCTATTCTTTTTTTCCTGTCTGCTATCTTGTATCGCTATTTTAAGCTTGCAATGTATCGCAAGTGGTGCGGAGCTCCACTTCGCCTATGTGTAATTTTTGTTTTTGCTTCAGCTTTGGGAGTTGAAAGATCAGTAGACCTGACAGACTTCAATGCGAATCAAGTGCTGAGCAGCATCGAAAACCTAGCCAAGAAAGTCTGAAGTGGAAGTTTCATTTTAAAAAACCTATATAAACTGATTCTTTTGCAAATAGATTATTTTCTCAAATGGCCGTTTTGTGAGTTGATATGGATTACCTACATGCTTTGAAAAAGTTTAAATTATTCAGAGTGAAATCAGAATTAGAGTTTCCATCCAGTGAATGGAGATATTGAGCTTACCATCAGAAATGGAATATGTTGCCATACCTGATAAACTGAAGCTTATGAACACCATATGTCAGAAGCACGCATTCATTTCAGGTGAAATGGTGGTTGATAATTGTCCATTTCTTCGCAATTGTGAGCATTCTCTTCTGTTCCAAGGAGCAGAGGCATGTCTGTATATCTTGAAAGACCCCAACAATGTCACCCATAACGGCATGTTTCTCCTTAAAAAACGACTGGTAAAAAGTTATAGACATGCAAAACTAGACAAAAAACTGACTCAGAAGCGAATAACACAGGAAGGCAGGACTTTGCTGAAGTGCCAAAAACTGGGAATCAAAGTGCCTATTGTCTACTTAAGTGATCTTAACGAGCGAGTAATTTTGATGGAATATCTCGACGATTATCAGAGTTTGAGAAACGTTTTAGAATCGAGAAGCCTCGACAATTCTGTGCTTAAAATACTTTCGGCTAATGTAGCTAATGTGGTAGCGAAATTACACGACAACAGCGTAATACACGGGGATTTAACGACTTCCAATGTTTTAGTCAAAGAATTGAAGGTTGAAAATGGAACACCTGAATCTGAAAATATGATTGAAAAAAGTGTCACGAGAAATTTCTCGATAGTTCCGATTGATTTTGGGCTTTCGTCATCATCTGATACAAGTGAAGACAAAGCTGTGGATTTGTATGTTTTGGAGAGAGCTATTTTGACCACTCACGCCAACATGACGTCCTTTTTTGACAGTTTCTTGGAAAATTACGTAACAGCTTCCAAATATGGCAGTGCGACAAAGGCGAAGTTAGACGAAGTACGAGCGAGAGGACGTAAAAGAGATATGATGGGTTGATGCGAAAACTGTACTTGATTTTTTTCTTAAAACAGTTGACCTTAAAAATTGATGAATAACTTTTATAAATTTTTTCGATTTCAATGCTAGATCCGGGAAAATGTTCGAGAGAAGACATAAGATACCAGGGGCGGATCTAGGATTTTCTCGAGGGGGCGGATTTTCAAAACAAAATCGAAAATTTTGACGACCTTTTTTTTAGGTCGAGTTAATAGGTTTTTCGAGCTCTCCCAAAGCACTGTTTTGCCCCTATTTAGGCTAAATTTCGTTTTTGGGCACTTTTTGAAAAATTTTGACAATAAAATCGCTTTTTTTGGCGCGCGCTCCCCCTCAAAGTTAGTATGTATTGGCGCCCAAGGCGCCTTTAGAAAAATTTTAGGGTCGGTCGGCCAAAAATGGATTTCTGAAAAAGTATCAAAGGGGGGAGCGCCCTGAGGGGGGGGGGCGTCCGCCCTTCCCCCTAAATCCGCCCCTGTAAGATACCAAGTGAAGAGTAGTCATTTGTCTCTCTTGGGTCACGGTTGGAGGGGTCCCAGTGTCATCCGACTGCTCAAGGTGGGACCAGCTACGGCGAAATGGATGACATCATCCTCCCCACGGCTGGTCCTGCTTTGAGTAGGACCGGGGCCTTAAAATTCAATTATACTGTCATCGAATCAAGATGTTATCCCAATTTCTTTAATCTTGATCCAAAATTAGTGGGAGAGCTATTTTTTTTATTCCTAAAACATTGCACGAGTCAATTCCTTTTTGTCAGCTTGACATCATGAAATTGATCTATAATTCTTTTGTGTGAATGAGCGAAACCAGGTTTCGTTGAATTACGTAGTCTGGTTTTTTTTTTGGGGGAAAAGTCTTGAAATTTAATCACGGGCCCATTTGCTAAATATGGTCTGACTTTTGAAGCTCAATTTTCAAATGGAGGCCAAAAATGCGCTGTACCAAACAGGAGTACAATGGGCAACAATGAAACTTAAGTTTTAGCTTCCCAATGCGGCTTTCATTTTCTAAAATTCGCGGCGGAACAACAAAAATCATCATGTATATTCAGTTTCTAATACGATTCAATGTGTCTCCTGAAACTGGAAAGTTGAAAAACTTTTGCCCCACGCAATGCTTGTGTCATAGACCAATCCAATTTTTTCAATCCTCAATCAGCCCAGCCCTACTATGTTCAATTTTGAAATTTTCTGTCATTACTCAACAGGTTAATTATTAGGGCTAATTTTTAAGGCGTTCACGCTTGGGATTAGCACGCGTTATCAAATGGGAACATAGACTTGTTCAGGTTAATAACTACAGTACTACATTAACAAAATCCTTTGAACTATTCGGGCTTGCAGTTTACACTTTTGTTCTGATGGAATGTCTGGCCAACGGATTTTTCTTGAGCATGTTTTATATTGAGTTGCCGTTCTATTCAGTTTTTTTTATATGTTGGCTGTAAAATAAGTTAATTTTTTATTGCTTTTTTTTCAAATGCGTCAGGGTTTCTTTGAATTGACGGATTTCCATTGATATTATATTTGCTTAGTTTCCTCATAATTCGCCGTTTGCAGGACCAAATTATATTTAACTTTGTTTGCTTTTCGGTGGTGGGGGAGTTTGGACGTTGAACTTAGGAACTTGGGAGCTTAACATTTTCAAGGCGTTTTGTCAGCTCTGCAGTTCTCTACCAAATATTGTCCGTTTAATAAAGCTTGTTTCATTACTGATTTATTCTGTGGCACTTGTGGTTCCCGATAACTGTTCTTGAAATTGAACCGCTTTTGGGACGCTTTTTCCCGATGTTTTTTTTCTTCTTTTTTTTCACTCAGTGGCTTTCGTCCTAAGTTTTGTTTCGCTGCCGTGCTTTTTGTGCATTGGATCGCAAGTGGTGCAAAGCTCCGCTTCGGCTCTGTGTTGATAGCATGCGTTTTGTGCGCTCAAATCAAGCGAATGCATTGCTACCTGATAATTAGTATTCAAATACGCGAACTTCTGCTAATCACACGATCTACGTGGTCGAATGGTGTAGTGTAGTAGACTCTCGTGTTTGCCTATAATGCAGCAGTTAGTGGGTTCAACCTCTGACTGTCTAATGATTTTTTGTATATTTAATTTTTCCAGCGTAATGTATTTTTTTTTGAGTTTTTGTGCCGTTATACCGCTTTTGTTTCTTGTGTTTGCGAAGTGCAGCTTTGCCTCTGTGTTTAAAACTGGGTGTACTCTTCATTTGAAGTACTTTTCAGACTTTGTTTTTGTAAAGAATTTGGACGACGGTTCATTTGTTTGCTACGGCATAGTTTATTACGCTTGCGATTAGCAAGCGTTATCAAACAGGAATATAGACTTTTTTCCAGTTAACAACTAGTTTAACAAAATCAGTTGAATCACTTACTGACCATGCTGCTGACTGACATGCTCAATTTCTTGAAAATTCAAATTTAACACAACGGGTTTTGCTTGTGCTGTAGACAGTTTTCAGTGTTATTGCAAGTGCAAGTGTTGTTTTTTCTAATTTCAGGGGGGACTTATAAGATTTTAGATCTTCAGATATTCTTTTTCGGTTCAGTTGGTGTCTGCTCAAAGAATGTCGGCTTAATTGCCACATCACAATTTTTTTTTGCTGCAAGCAACTTTCATTGTAGTTGCAAGTGCAAGTGATGTTCATTCTAGTTTCAAGGGAGACTTGAAAGGAAAAAAAAACGTTTTTTTTTTCAACTCAATTGGTTTCAGCTCAACGTTTGTTGGCTTAGTTGCCACATCACGGATTTTTCTTGTGCTTTTAATAACTTTCATTATAGATGCAACTGCAAATGTTTTCCATTGTTGTTTTAGGTGGTACTTTAAACTTTTTTTTTATAAAATCGTATTTTTTTCGGCTCAACTTGTGTCTGCTCAAAGATTGCCGGCTTTGGTTCTTTTCGAAATTTTTGTTCCGTTGTTGGTGATTTAAAATTCAATTCGCTGGCATGTTTGCGTGGAATGAACTTCTATCGAGACATATGAAAGTTTATATGACCTAGTTTTCAAACATTTTCACTTTTTTGGTTCTTTGTTTTTTTTTCATGTTTGTTGTATCGCAAGTGGTGCGAAGCTTCGCTTCGCCTCTCCGTGTACTATCACTTAGTTCTACCTATCATTAACACGTCGGCTTGCCCTTATCTGAAGGTTAAATAATATTATGTTGCCGACACTTCAACTTGAATTCATTGAGGTGATAATAGACGTTTCTTTGTCCCTGCTCAATTTTTATTTTAACGGACTAAAATTGCTCTTTTCCCCATTAATTTTCCAAATTCTTTTTTATTTGAGTCGCTTAATTTGGGATACTCGCCAACTAAATAAGATTTGGTGCTGAAATATTTTTTTTTGGTTTTCAATTTCAAATGTGGGTATGAATCATGGAATAAGCAGTGCTACAAAAACTTTTAGTTGTCGGATGTTTGTTTCGAATTATGCTAGGTTTTCCAACCTGAAATGATGACATTGAATTTGAGCTCACTTTAGTTCAAGTTCATTTTTGTTTGTTGTTTTAGATCTCGTTGCATGAGTTTTCTGTCGTAGTAATCGGAAGATTCAGTTTGTTGCTTAGTTTTGTTTTCGGCTCAAGTGGCTTCTACCCAAGTATTGTCGGCATAGTTAACACACGTTAAATTTTTAGGCAGTTTTTTCTTTTGTTTTTTTTATTGTTCGGCTTCTTTGACTCGAATTATTATAAAGTTTTTGACTCGAATTATATCGGCTTAGTTGTCTCATGTTGAGAGCGAAAATATTTCTTATGTGCGCTGAAAAAGTATTTCCAAGCAGGAAGGCTTCAACTATGTTGCAATACTTTTATTCTGATTTTATTTTCCGTTCGATTTCGTCATTCATAACGTGTTTTGGGTCGAAGTATTGCAACATAGTTGAAGCCTTTCCAGCTAAAGTTCGCCAGAGTAGCTTACGACTAAAGTTCGCCAGAGTACCTAAAATAAAAAGGGCCAATACTGAATTAAGACGGCAACTTTAAGTCGTTGGCGTCTTTTCCGGGGGTTTTTTCCTGCCAAGTAATATTTCCATGCAAGATGAGGGCTTCAACTATGTTGCAATAATTTTAGTCTGGTTTAATTTATAGTTCGGTTTAGTCATACATAAAGCCATTCGTATCACTTGGTATGATACTACGTCAGATTTATTTAAAGACCAACTAAGTGAACATTTAACTGCTGCAAGACTTCAAACTATTCACGTCTTTATTCAAAGCTAAGCTACTATCATTTTCGTCACTTTTCTTCAAGTTTTTTTTTCAATTTTTTCTTTCACTTTTTTTGCAGCCTCTCAGTTTCGAGCGCCAAATTTAAAAAACTTGCTGCTATATTTTAATTGTTACGCTTTATCAACATTGACCTAACTTCTTTTCGGCTGATAATTTTATCTACACTTTTTGCACACCCGATTTTGAGCGCCAAATTTTCTTTACTATCGATCTGATCACTAAATGCTGTAAGTGTGTTTTAATTGTTTTATTCCGAAGGCATAAAACATTCAAATTGTAGGCATAATTGTATTTCGGGGTTGAATCTTAATTGGTATTTGGGCGGGACCAAATTGAATAAATTGCGGTGTGTGATTCCGTATTTGGTTTTGCACCAAACTAATTAATCATTTAGTCCTTGAGCTCATAAGTGAACAAATATAGATTAGAAAACTCGGTTTAAATTGTATTTTGCTGCATAATTCACGCACCTGTGCGTAATTATTGATTCGTGTCTATTCCAGGTTGCTCATGGTGATCTAGAACGAGCGGAATCACAACTTGTGAAACCAACTCGCTTTAATTGATTTCTTCTATCCTCGGGGTCATAAAAACCAACAGCTGCTGATTAGCAATCGAAACCAACCAATTAAAAGCTGCCGGAGTTTCAGAAAGGACCAATAGGATTAGAGTCAATATTCAGTTGCCATGAAACCTCTTGCCGGTCATACACTACTTTTCGCCGATGCGAGACCCTCCTCTGGTGAATCTGGATCGAGAGCTGGTTCCTTGGCATCTTCAGGAAACAAGACACCCCCTAGTTTCCCATTCATCATAGGAGTGGCAGGGGGTTCTTCGTCGGGAAAGTCAGAAGTGTGCGAGCGAATCGTGGAAGCGCTGGGTCAAAACTCCAAATCAGCAAAGGTCCGATTAAACGGTTTCGTATGTTCGCTTGATTAGCATGCTGGATAGTTCAGGCTATTAAACGAACACAAGCTATTATTTCTGAAATTGCATACTATTATTTAAAGTGGTATGATAAATGGTATTTAAAGTTTCTCGTAAAAGAATTTTTTAGGAATCGATTCGAGTATGAAATAAGTTTTAAAATTTCAAAGTTTCATCGTTTTTTAAGCTTGCTTAAAAACTTTTTTTTTCAGCAACTCAATGCAAGCAATCAGAACAGTTTGATTTGCTTCAAAGTTTCAGCGGTTGATATCTAGCTCCAAAAAGCTCTTAACGTTTAGCCAATCAATTGTAGATATCAAATTAACCTGAAATGCTTTGAATTTTCATCGTTTGAATAGCTTGCTTCGAAAAACTAATAATTAGCGGCTAGCAAACCACTGCAAGCCATCCAAACAATCTAAGTTGAATTATTATCCAATTGTTTCAAGCTATGGAAGATAACTGAGATGTTTCTTAAGTTCATTGCGTGAAAATGTTTCTAAAAAATTTCATCTCATCCATCAGCTGTTTAAACAATCAAAGCAGCTTGAATTATATCAGCTTGAGTTTTATCGCTTCAATTACATTTAAAAAATTTTCGCGAAGTTTTATTTCTTGAAAAGCTTGCTTAAAAATGGCTTATTTCGAGAGTTAATTTAGGCTATGAAGCCAACTTTAACTTATTCAAATTGCCATTGCTCGAAAAATTAGCATGAAAAATAAAACAAAATCTAGCGAAGCAATCAGCTATCAAATAACTTTGAAATGGGTTGTTTGGTTTATTTGATAGCTGATTGATTCGCTAGATTATTTTCTTTTTCATGCTAATTTTTCGAGCAATGGTAATTTGAAGAAATTTAAGTTGGTTTCATAGCCTAAATTGATTCCCGAAATGCGACAGTTTTTAAGAAAGCTTTTCAAGCAATAAAATTTTGAAATAGTTCAAGTGGTTTTGAAGGCTTGAAATGTTTCGCTTTTTTTAAATGCTATTGAAGCGATAATACTCTGATATAATTCAAGCTCTTTAAATTGTTTAAACTGCTGATCGATGAGTTGAATTTTTTAGCAAACCTATTTCAAAGTTTTGTGTTAGGAATGCTGGTTGGATTAAAAGTTAAAAGTTTTGCAGTCGCTAACTGATTTGAATTTGGAAATTTGTACTGTTCCACCGCTTAAGAAAAGGTTGTCAAAATTTCGTTGATTAATTTTTTGTTGCGAAAACTTGGTTTTAGAACTGATCAAAAACAACTTTTTTTTCAAAAATTTCATCACTTACAAAGCTTTCTCTACAAAACAATTTCTGCAAATCAAACAAAGCTATCAAATGCAGCCGCTATAGTTTTTTTTTCAGAAGTTCATATTGAAAAAAAGCATCAAAATCTTGTTGTCTATGGATTTAAGTTCATATTGAAAAAAAATTGCATAGAAATCTCTGGCGACGGACAATCTCTGACGCCAAATTGTAAAATTAAGGACTACAAGCCGAACAACTTGTCAAAAAGCCATGAAATATGATTAATTGGAACGCTGTTCCGAAGAATTTCTCAATTTCATGAGCTTTCTGTCCAAGTTATTAGCTGTTTCATAAATTTTGAGCCTCTAATTGATGTTTAGGAATAATAAAAACTGAAAATTTATTGAAGGGGTTTTTTAGGTGTATAATTTATGCATTTCAAAATCCGGCAGATCTAATAAAATTTGCCGTTTTTGAGTGGTGCATTGATACGAAGAACGCTTGTTATGAACTATACTTGCCTAAAGTTTTGAAAATAATCGTTTTACTCATGACAATTTAGGCTTTGAGGTGCTAGTAAAGTTAAAAATTCGGCTTCGAGTCACTTCGGCTTGACGTCCCGTCGGCTTTTTGTCCTAGACCCAGAAATCTATTTGTCTATGGATTTAAGTTATTTGAACGCGAAATAATAGAAGCTTAGCTTTTGAATAAATTGGAGGTTGTAATTTTGGTGCTAGGTAAATAAGGCGACAAGACATTAAGACGAAAAGACATTAAGACGACAAATGAGCGTTAAAACATGCAAATTGAACTGTTCGAATTTGAGCGAAATATGTTTTTTTCAGAAATACGAAGTGGATAATTGCATGTATTGTCTTAAAGTCGATCAAAACAGTTGTAGCCTTAATGTCCTGTCGTCTTGTTTGCCGGACACCTGGAATTTTTTTATTTCTTAATTGGATTGATTTTGCATTTTTCAGAAATGGAGTTTCTTTTGTTTCCTATTGGTTGGCTTTATCTCAGTAATTTTCATTTAAACCTTGCAGCGAATTGGCCCCCAATTGGGTGGGTATTCACAAGTACCAAAATGATAAATCAGTCCCAGTTGTACCAAAATAAAAAATCAATCGCGTTAGTACCAAAAATATTCAATTGGCCTAAGACTATAAAGACGACTACTTTAAGCTCTTGGTCTAAAGTCGCCGGTGGGCGCGCTACGCGCGCGTTGCCGCTTCGCGGCGTTAACCGGATCTAATTTTCGTATAGAGTCGTACCCTCTGTTGGCAAGCTCGAAACACGTTGGCGCGACTGCGGCGGTCACTATTCTGCTGTTTGGTTTAATTTAATAGTTCGTTGGCTCACAATTCGACCAATCGATAATTTTGGTACAAATGGGACCGATTTATCATTTTGGTACAAATGAACGTTGGTACAAATGGGACTTCACCCCCAATTGTTAAAGGGGAGCGAATAGTTAACAAGATTCTTTTTCTGTTCATTTTTGTGTGCGCTGAGCTGGCTGTTAGTAATTTTTGTGCTTTTGTTCCTCTGTATAATTGTGTTTTTTTCTTTCGTTTATTGATTCCTATGTTTTGATGCTTGCTGTAGGAGCGCCAGGTGTTTGTGATCAACCAGGACTCGTTCTATCGCAACTTAAACGAGAAGGAGTTGCAGAATGCGGCCAAATTCCACTTCAATTTCGACCACCCCAACGCAATCAATCTAGACAAAGTTAGTATTCCACCGATTTTCCACGTGTCACTGCCATCAAGTGGAACTTGTCCGTTATACCCATAACTTAAATGAAATAAGAAATAAATCTTTACGTTTCACTTTCTCATTTTGAGAAGTTCCAAGTTTTTGAATTCCGATAGAATGTCTAATGTTGAAAAATTAGATGCCGCGCCATAACGGAAAAGTTTTCAAGGTTCCACAGATTCATACTTCATATTGTTTACCAGAGCTACGTACAATGATGCAATGACTTCTGAACGTTTTTTTCTGTTCACTGAAGATGCATTTTTGGTGGTTTTTTGCAACGCAAAACCAGGTATCTCAAAGAACTGTCGTGCAGAACCAAGTGATATATCGCATTCCAACCTGTTTTTTTTAAAGAATAATGCGGAACTTTGTGCTGCTGGCACAGCAACTGGCTTCTCTTGTTCTCATTTTGGTTTTTTTCTCAATGTTTTTCCTTGGACGCTTTTTTTAGGCGTTGGTTGCAAAGCGCCGTCTTGCCAAGATAACACTGGTTGCAAAAAAATATATATTTTCGTAGCTTTTGCTAGTTTTTTAATAATTCAATTCTTCCTTTTTATTTATTTATTTCTACAATCATGAAGGCAAATGTTTTTTTTCCAGGAAAACGTCGGTTTATCGTTAGTCTGCTTATATTTGTCGCCTGAAATTCCAAAGCATGAATATTACTGATTTCAACATTTTTGGTTGGTTGTTCTTTACAAAATGTGACTTTGAAGTTTTTAAATTTTTTTCGCTGAAATGATATCGGCTTATTGCCCGTCCAATAAGGAACAGTGTTGCAACCGGGTATTAGGTTTTTCCCCATAAACAACGGCACAGAATTCGCACGAAAAAATGTTACTAGTGTTTTACTTGCTGTATTCTAAATTCGAATTGAAGGAGATTTCTGTGCACTTGGGGCAGTGGTAACAACCATGCCAAAGGCCGAGAATTCGATTCCATTTTCGACTGAAAATTTTGTCTAGTTTGACCATTGTCTGCTTATTTTTGTCGGCTTAGTTCCCAGAAAACAGAATTTTTTTCAATGAGCAAAAAAAATTTTGCTTGCTTTTAATAATAGTCGAAGTTGAAGTTATTAGATATTTCATCGTTTGAATAGCAAAATAGAATTGAATCGGTAATACGAAAATACGTCGGTTGCGAAAGGGTCGGAGAGTCTTCCCAGTGTTAACACAAGTGGAGCGTAGTGTGATAGTACGATGCAACTTTTGTTCCAACGGAAGTCGCAATTAAGAGAGCTAACTTTGGTGGCATTTTATTTCATAGGCAGAATTGGCAGTATCATAGCATGTGCTTTGACATTTGATTTGTAATTAGTAAATATAATTGAGGCTCAAAAATTGCGCTTCGCTTTGTGTTCTATTATGCTTAAATCACCAGTAATTTCATCGTTTGAGGAGCAAAGTAGAATTACGTCGGGTGCGAAAATATTGGAGAGTCTTCGGGTTTTGACACAAGTGGAGCGTAGTGTGATAGTACGATGCAATTTTTGTTCCAACGGAAGTCGCAATTAAGAGAGCTAACTTTGGTGTCATTTTATTTCATAGGCGGAATTGGCAGTATCATAGCATGTGCTTTGACTTTTGATTTGTAATTAGTAAATTTAATTGAGGCTCAAAAATTGCGCTTCTCTTTGTGTTCTATTATGCTTTAATCATCAGTATTTTCATCGTTTGAGGAGCAAAGTAGAATTACGTCGGGTGCGAAAGTTTTGGAGAGTGTTCGAGTTTTGACACAAGTGGAGCATAATGTGATAGTACGATGAATTTCTGGTTCCAACCGAAGTCACAATTAAGTGCTAGTTTTGGTGGCACTTTTATTTCATAGGCGGAATTGGCAGTACAAAAGCATGTGCTATGAAATTTGATTAGTAATTGACAAATATCAATGAGTTTTCCCAATTCATCAGATGAAACTAAAATTGCGCTTTTCTTCTTTGATCTTTAATGCTATAATCATGAGAAGTTCATCGCTTAAAGAGCAAAATAGAATTTTGTGCCTTAATACGTCGTGTGCGAAAGGATTTGAAATTCTTCGAGTTGTGACACAAGTGGAGTGTAGTGTGGTTGTAGTATGTAACTTTTGTTGCAATCGAAGTCGCAATTAAAAATGCTAATTTTGGTGGATCTTTTAATCAAGAGGCTGCATTGGCGGTATAGTACCTTGCGCTGTGACATTTGATTAGCAATAAATCGGCAGAAATGATGCTTTCTTAATTCATCAAATGATCCGAAAATTGAGCTTTGCTTCTTCTCTTTTCCTTAATTCATCAAATGTTTAATTGTCTCAAGAACAAAATACAATTTTGTGCCTTAATACGTCGAGTTCGAAAGGATTGGGAGAATCTTCGAACTTTGACACTTGTGCTGCGTAGCGTGATGATATGATGCAACTTTTGTTCCACCGGAAGTCGCATTTAAAAGAACGAATTTTGGTGGCATTTTTATTCAGGAGGCAGCATTGGCGGTATAGTAATTTTTGCTCTGACATTTGATTGTTAATCAGTAAATATAAATAAGGCTTTCTTGATTCATCGAAACAATCGTAAAATGCGGTTCATTTCTGTGTTCTATTATGCTTTAGTCATTGTATATTTCATCGTTTGACGAGAAAAATAGAATTTCGTGCCTGGATTCGTCGAATGTGAAAAGATTGTAAATTTAATTGAGGCTCAAATTGAGTAAATTTAATTGAGTAAATTTAATTGAGGCTTAAAAATTGCGCTTCTCTTTGTGTTCTATTATGCTTTAATCATCAGTATTTTCATCGTTTGAGGAGCAAAGTAGAATTACGTCGGGTGCGAAAGTTTTGGAGAGTGTTCGAGTTTTGACACAAGTGGAGCATAATGTGATAGTACGATGAATTTCTGGTTCCAACCGAAGTGACAACTAAGTGCTAGTTTTGGTGGCACTTTTATTTCATAGGCGGAATTGGCAGTACAAAAGCATGTGCTATGAAATTTGATTAGTAATTGACAAATATCAATGAGTTTTCCCAATTCATCTGATGAAACTAAAATTGCGCTTTTCTTCTTTGATCTTTAATGCTATAATCATGAGAAGTTCATCGCTGAAAGAGCAAAATAGAATTTTGTGCCTTAATACGTCGTGTGCGAAAGGATTTGAAATTCTTCGAGTTGTGACACAAGTGGAGTGTAGTGTGGTTGTAGTATGTAACTTTTGTTGCAATCGAAGTCGCAATTAAAAATGCTAATTGTGGTGGATCTTTTAATCAAGAGGCTGCATTGGCGGTATAGTACCTTGCGCTGTGACATTTGATTAGCAATAAATCGGCAGAAATGATGCTTTCTTAATTCATCAAATGATCCGAAAATTGAGCTTTGCTTCTTCTCTTTTCCTTAAGTCATCAAATGTTTAATTGTCTCAAGAACAAAATACAATTTTGTGCCTTAATACGTCGAGTTCGAAAGGATTGGGAGAATCTTCGAGTTTTGACATTTGTGCTGCGTAGCGTGATGATATGATGCAACTTTTGTTCCACCGGAAGTCGCAATTAAAAGAACGAATTTTGGTGGCATTTTTATTCAGGAGGCAGCATTGGCGGTATAGTAATTTTTGCTCTGACATCTGATTGTTAATCAGTAAATATAAATAAGGCTTTCTTGATTCATCGAAACAATCGTAAAATGCGCTTCACTTCTGTGTTCCATTATGGTTGAGTCATCGTATCTTTCATTTGACGAGCGAAATAGATCTTCTTGCCTGGATTCGTCGAATGTGAAAAGATTGTAGTCTTGGAGTTTTGACACAAGCAAATGGAGCGTAGTGTGATAATACCATGCAACTTCTGTGCTAAAAAAAGTCGTATCAAAGTTGCTAGCTTCGTTTTCACTTTTAATTAATCGGCGGAAATGCAGTATAATATCACGCTCTTTGACATTTGACAAGTAAAAAGTGAAATTAGATAAGGCGTTCTCAGTTCTTTAAATGCACCTTAAATTGAGTTTCATATCTTTGTTTTCAAATGCTTTAGTGATTAGTTGTTTCATTTAAGAAAAAAGTTAAATTTTCTGCCTTAATACGTCGATTGCGGAAGGATTGGAGATTCGTCGAGTTTTGACACAAGTGGAGTGTAGTGTGGTTGTAGTATGCAACCTCTGTTGCAATCGAAGTCGCAATTAAAAATGCTAATTGTGGTGGATCTTTTAATCAAGAGGCTGCATTGGCGGTATAGTACCTTGCGCTGTGACATTTGATTAGCAATAAATCGGCAGAAATGATGCTTTCTTAATTCATCAAATGATCCGAAAATTGAGCTTTGCTTCTTCTCTTTTCCTTAAGTCATCAAATGTTTAATTGTCTCAAGAACAAAATACAATTTTGTGCCTTAATACGTCGAGTTCGAAAGGATTGGGAGAATCTTCGAGTTTTGACATTTGTGCTGCGTAGCGTGATGATATGATGCAACTTTTGTTCCACCGGAAGTCGCAATTAAAAGAACGAATTTTGGTGGCATTTTTATTCAGGAGGCAGCATTGGCGGTATAGTAATTTTTGCTCTGACATCTGATTGTTAATCAGTAAATATAAATAAGGCTTTCTTGATTCATCGAAACAATCGTAAAATGCGCTTCACTTCTGTGTTCCATTATGGTTGAGTCATCGTATCTTTCATTTGACGAGCGAAATAGATCTTCTTGCCTGGATTCGTCGAATGTGAAAAGATTGTAGTCTTGGAGTTTTGACACAAGCAAATGGAGCGTAGTGTGATAATACCATGCAACTTCTGTGCTAAAAAAGTTGTATCAAAATTGCTAACTTTGATTTTACTGTCAATTCATCGGCGGAAATGCAGTATAATATCACGTTCTTTGACATTTGACTAGTAAAAAGTGAAATTAGATAAGGCGTTCTCAGTTCTTTAAATGCACCTTAAATTGAGTTTCATATCTTTGTTTTCAAATGCTTTAGTGATTAGTTGTTTCATTTAAGAAAAAAGTTAAATTTTCTG